TGTGAATAGACTGCCTCATCTTTCTCCTGTGGAGGGGCTCATGGGTTGGAACCACCTGGCTTTTGGTTGGCTGCCGAATGCTTTAACTACTGTGCCACCTGAGCCCCTGAGAGCACATTTATATAACATTAAAAGCAAGTAAGAATTGTCCTGGGGACTACCATTCTATCCAGACACCTCTCCCCTAACCCTCTGTGCAGAGCAGTGGGAGGCCATCGAGGAGCTAGCGGCCTGACACATGATCACTGCTGTCTCCTTAGGACCCACAGGGCACTGCTGGAATCGGGCGGGTAGTTGGATCTGAGGGCGTGTCAGGCGTACAGATCAGCGGGGAGAAAGGAGGTGAAGCCCCCTGTCACCATGGAGATGCGAATGCTGACTGACGCCAGACTGCTGTCTTCCCACAGGTTCTGTTCATTGCTGATGAGATACAGACGGGACTGGCCCGCACCGGCCGATGGCTGGCCGTTGATCATGAGAACGTGAGGCCTGACGTGATCCTGCTGGGCAAGGCCCTTTCGGGGGGTCTGTACCCTGTAAGTTGATGTTCTAGACCCCGCCATCTCTGCTCCCATGAAATACTCTCCTCAAGTACTTTTGCTCCAGCTGATGGAGACACGATCCCTTTGGGACGGTTTATCTCTTAGCGTGCTGTCCGTTGCTCTCCTGGGATGTCTGCAGTGACACCATGGCTCCAGTGGGTGAACTGCTGGTCACTGTTGACTGAGAATCCTGTGGGCATCTGCTCTGTCATTAAATGTGGAAGGGAATGTTTAGTCCCCCAAGGTCCCGTTGACCCCTGTGCTCTCTTGAGTGTTCAGAGACGCGGTGCTCCTGAGAGCCTGAGACCGTGATCAGGGGACAGATGCTAAAAATGTCATTTGCTGCTGCTGTGGTTTTCTTGGCCTCGCTCTTCTCAGCCGATTTGGAGATGGAGGAAAGGGCTCTGAAGTACAGACGTCTTTCCTGATGTGCTAATGAAGGACTCTCCTGAAGAGAGCACTTAGCCTTGCCTTCCAAGCAGTTAAAGCATTGCCTTGAAATGGAAGGGACTGACCTGCGTCACCGTACAAACAGCTCTCACCTTTTTAGTGCCCAACTTCCCTAGTCCATCGTCTGTGCCACTGAGGTGTGCCTGACATACGTGTAGTGCATCGGGGCCTTGCTCAGTTCAGAAGGAGTTTGTCAGATTGACTGTTTCCTTCGTGTACGGGTGTGTCCGGCAGGTCGCGGAAGGGTACTCTGTGGCACAGTCTCTGAGCTCTGGCTGTTGTCTCTCAGGTCTCCGCAGTGCTGTGTGATGACGAGGTCATGCTCACCATCAAACCCGGGGAGCACGGCTCAACGTATGGGGGCAATCCCCTTGGCTGCCGAGTGGCCATCGCGGCACTGGAGGTAAAAACAGTCAAGCCACATGATACCCATTTCGTTAATGCCAAAGTGACTTTTACATTTGAACCCCTTGATGTAATGAGACATTTGGTAAGACTGCCTGTGGTACTTAAGGTTATGTGTCAACCTGGCTGGGCCTAGTTTTGAGTGGCTGGGCAGCTGGATAGAGTTATTTCCCAGCATGGAATCTGGTCAGTCTTGCCATCCTGCAAGCAGCTGCCTTAGGGATGTGGTCTGCTTCCAGTAGATGGTAAGTTTGGGAATGGTCCTAAGCTTTCTGGCATGCTTGTTACGTGCCGTCAAGTCGGACCTGACTCACAGCAACCCCTCCTTGTGTTTCTGAGGTGGTATCCCTATGGAAATAGATTGCCCAGCCTTCCTTCCGAGGAGTGGCTGGTGGGTTTGAACCCCCAGCCTTCTGGTTAGCAATCAGGTGCCTTAGGCACTACACCACCAGAGCTCCCACGCTTGGAACCCTGAGTTTGGCTGAGTCTTCCTTCATCTCAGTGACCTACCATGTTTCCTGCTGATCTCAGGACTATCTTGGGACTTGAACTAGTGGCTTGCCATGTTGTTTGGTCATCTTGGGACTGTGACATTTTATTTGTTAACCTTGGCTTTGTCAGCCTCAGCAGCCAGCAGCTGCCTGAGTGAAGAGAGGCCTCCACCTTCAGTGGGCCAGGAGCAAGAGGCAGAGCTGAAGCCCAAGCTTTCACCCAGCCCCTAAAGCTTGGCACTTTGAGCTCAGACTTTTAGCCTCCAAAACTGTAAGAGAATAAACTCTTGTTTGTTAAAGCCACCGTATTTGTTAGAGTGGCACTAGGGAACCCAAGCACTGCCCCGTGTCAGAGACTATGGAAAGCGGGAAGGATGGGGGGAGTTCTCTGAACAGAGCTTAGACCTCGGCCTGTTGTTGGGAGCCATCAGGTTGATTTGACCATAGCGTCCCCGTGTGGCAGCCGAACTGCCCCGGGGTTTCTTGGCTATAATCTTCATGGAAGCAGATCACCAGGGCTTCTTCCTGGGCTGCTGGGTGGGTTAGAACCGCCGTCCTTAGCAGCTGAGCACTTAACCGTTGCTGCTACCAGGGCTCTTTGACCTTGGCCTAATAGACTAGATTTCCTGCCAGAGCTTCCTGAATTTGTAGCAGTCTGGGATATTGGAACCTGGGCCCTGGTGGTCCTGGGAGAGATCTCACACTGGGACCCCAGGCTCTGGCCTGCCTGGCCTCTTCTGCCTAGTAAGCAGGGCATTTTTCGCCCCATCAAGTGTGAATGTTGAATGCTTTTAGCATTATCCCTTCAATGCCTACCAGGGGCATACAACTGTTATATAATGTCTGAGGAGGGACTTTCTAGGAAAGACAAATTTAAGGGAACTCTTCTGCAGTTTAATAATTTAGTTCACTGATTCGTTTGACTGATAAGATCATCCTTGGCATTAAACAAATGTGAATGCTCTTCTTTTGCCACCAAGTTTCTGATTTGTGACGGATTTGTGATGAAGCAAAGCTCTGTCCGTGTAATTACAAATGAAGCTAATCAAGGAGTTGAAGGCAGGAGGGACAGGCAGTGACTCCCGTCTGCCTTGAGTGGTGCTCTCTCCCTTTGCTCCCGGGCCACATGCCCCCAAACGAACAGCAGAAAGCCAAGCTTAACGAGTGTGTGATTTCTATTAAAAATAGGTCTTGGAAGAAGAAAACCTTGCTGAGAACGCAGACAAGATGGGTGCTCTCTTGCGGCGTGAGCTCATGAAGCTGCCGTCTGACGTCGTGACTGCTGTCCGAGGAAGAGGACTGTTGAACGCGATCGTTATTAAAGAAACCAAAGGTATAGAAACACACAGCTTAACTCCACTGCTGTTCTTACAAGAGGAGCTAAAACGCACTTGGTATTTTTATAATTTGTCAGGTTCTCGCTTTGAAACTGTCGACTGACCTTCTGTTGTGCAAGTCTCTGAGTACCATCTGATTTCTAATGACGTTAATAATGTTAGCAATACAGCTCTTCCCTACACAAAGCCCTGTGACGTGGCATGGAAGCGTTGTCTGACTTCCTTTAACTTCGTGAAGGACGAGGAGAATCAAGATCAGTGTTCAGGGCTAATTCCTGCGTGGTGGAGGTCAGACATGCCACCTCTCTCCAGCCTTTATACTGGTTCTGATACCGGTCCTCCTCCCACGCACTGTCTACTCCTCTGCTGGTTCGATAGTGTGTTGCCCACGCGGAGCTCACAGACAGTACTCACGATGCTGGGGTTTATTGGGGAGGTAGCAGGTGACAGTTCAGGATCAGGTGACAGTGCTTTGGTTGGGACAGCTTCACGGCCCTGCTCACGGGCAGGCCTCTCCTTGGCCCTGGGCCTCTCGGCCTCTTAGGCCTTTTGGGCTTCTTGGGCCAGCCTGGCCTCTGTCCTGTCAGGCAAGTGTTACAGAGCTCTTTAACTTCACTGATAAATGCCTGTAGGCACCCACCCTGCCAGGAAGCCTCCTGCTGCCTTGTTTCTCACTCTGGGTCAGTAGCCCCACTGCAGCACCCCTTGCTCTGTGGGCCGGGACGCCTCCACCATGCTGGCCTCCTGGTCCTGCTGCCTTGGTTCTCACTCTGGGTCAGTAACCCCTCTGCAGCACCCCTTGCTCTCTGGGCCGGGACGCCTCCACCATGCTGGCCTCCTGGTCTTGCTGCCTTGTTTCTCACTCTGGGTCAGTAGCCCCACCATAACACCCCTTGCTCTGTGGGCCGGGACGCCTCCACCATGCCGGCCTCCTGGTCCTGCTGTCTTGTTTCTCTGTAGCTGCTCACTGTCTTGTGCCGTCTCTGGTGCTCCAGTTCTCTCTGTCTCTGTCTCTGCCTCTTGAGTCTTGGAGGCTCTCAGTGTAGGGACCTTGGGTCCAAAGGACATGCTCTGCTCCCATCTTTTCTCAGGGGTAGTGAGGGTCTCCCTTACTGTCTCTGGGATGGGTCATTTTAAGCCTAGCAGGATGGCAAGACTGACCCGTCCCCTCGTTAGGATTCCATACACCTTATTTGCAAGGTCCCATCTCCACAAAGGTGCCATGCACCTCATTTGCATAATTAGTGGGTTGGCCGGTCCCCTTGGTGGGCCACAAGCACCTTATTTACGTAGTCTCACCGAATGATTCTGTGGGAGTCACAGGCCCCTGCACTGTAGGCACACTGAACTCATCCGACCGGGTTTTGTTCCTTTGTGTCATCTGTTAGTCGGCGGTGAGTTCCTCATGCGCCACTCGGAGAGGCTATTTTCTGAGTCTGTCCAGAGCACTTTCCTTAAAAGCCCCTCCTGTGCTCTCCTTCCCCGCACTGCGAGACCCTGTGAGTCAGTAGGAGGAGGGGGAGCGTTCGTAATGACGTGGGCGATGGTGCTGGTGGTGAGAGTGGCACTGGCTGCTGCCGCGGGCCTGCTCAGGAAGGGCCAGGCACAGATTCTGACGTTTTAGTGCATCAGGGAACCTTCGCTGGATTGTCTTTTTTTTTTCAACTTTTTATTGTGATTTGGGTGAAGTTTTACAGAACTGATTCATTTTCCATTCAACAGTTCATACACATTTTGTTTCGTGACACTGATTACAATCCCTAGAAAGTTACAGCTCTCCTCCACTTCCTCCCTGTGACTACCCTTTCCCTTTATCCTTCTTACCTATGCATTCCTGGCTCCCTAGCTTTCTTCCTGCACAATTGCTGCCCTTCTGATCTCCCATGGTTGATTGTTCTAAGGAGTGCATCTCCCTGATGTGTCATTGTTCAGCTCATAGGCCTGGCTACCATCCGGCTGAGAGTTAAACCATGGAAGTGAGTCCAATTCCAGGCCCAAAGGGTAATTAGGGTCCCTAGTTTCAGGGGTTTCACCAGTCTCTTTCCAATCCGTAACCCTGGTCTTTTTTATGGTTTTTTTTTTCATTTTGTTCCACATTTTTCTCCCACTCTCTCCTGGATCTTCAATTGCCATCCCTTTCTCAATAGTTGGCATTAGTAGCTGAGCACCATCTAATTCTTCTGCTCTTAGGTTTTGTAGGCTAAGGTTCCCGTCGTCCATTAGTTCCTTGGACTAATTGTTTCTATGTATCTTTGATATTGCTCAGTCTTCTTGCTGCACAGCAAGAGAAGCTGCATTGTCAGAAAGCAAAATTTGCTCCTCCTTCAGTTGCTGATATAATGTAGCATTTTCAGGCCAAGGTTCTGCAGCTGCCATCTGGGAGACGAAGGCTTCCGCCACCAGGAACATGTCGGTTAGACAGCCTCGCACCCCCAGGTCCTCCTTCACTGGATTGTCTTGAGAAGCAATGGTTCCAACCTTGGCTGCACTTTAGAATCACCCAGGGAGTTTTAAAAAAATTCCTCAAAGCCTGGCCTCACCCCAGAGATTCAGATGTAATGGGTCCAAGGTGGGGCCCTGGCGTTGGCGACCCTCAGAGCTCTCAGTGGTTCCCATGAGCAGGTGGCATTGAGAATCGCTGTGCGATGACGAGAGTCTACAGTTACGCAAGCTCAGGAAGCAAGCCCGTTTTAGGAATGTGTGGGGTTCGCTGTGGGGTGAGTGGGGCCGTTCCTGTCAGTTGGCATCTGTATCACACCCACATCCTTTCTGCATTGGTTCCTCCTGGTGTGGTTAATACAGCATGTCGGCACATGAACTTTTCAGCTTGTTTGTTTCATTTATGGAAAACCAGCAAAACCCCTGATGGTCTAATCCTGGGACTGACTGCATTTTCAGGATAACGAATAAAGTGAGCTTGCCGCTGAAAGCTCCTCTGGAGCAGGTCCTGAGCGTCCGTTTTGCCAGACTGTGCCATGTCCACGAGTGTATCGTGCACGGTTACCCCTGACCCGGGTGCACATGTCCGGCCATTTTGCCAGGCTGTGCCGTGTCCACGAGTGTATTGTGCACGGTTACCCCTGACTCGGGTGCACATGTCCGGCCATTTTGCCAGGCTGTGCCGTGTCCACGAGTGTATCGTGCACGGTTACCCCTGACCCGGGTGCACATGTCCGGCCATTTTGCCAGGCTGTGCCGTGTCCA